GCATTAGCCATGATTTGCCCGTGCCTGGGTACGCTTGGCCGGGTGTGAATGGATATGCGAACAGTCTCATATGAGGCAAGCGTGCTTTTCTCTTCCCTGCTTTCGAACGTGGGCCACACGGCGTTGACAAAGTATTAAACCAACTTGCTCCGCCTGTCACATTGCTCTGCTCTACTCTTCCCACCATCATCAACATCGTTCTCCGAGATCACGAACTCCAGCTCTACTACAACACAAACAATACCACTCTAGCAACCGCTTAACAACACCGCCAATATGCCCGCCACCGCAAGGTAAGCGAACACCACTCCCGCTACCCATTTCCACTGCCAGGACCCGCCCTTCGCGAGAAGCCGAATGCGGAATCCTGGAAGCTCCAATTCCAGCATACTCTTGGACCCGACAAAGCTAACAGAGCTACCTATAGTGATATCTGCAAGATCATCTTCGCCATCATCCTCCCTCCTCTGGGTGTCTTCCTCGAGCGAGGATGTGGTGTCGACCTGCTCATTAACATTCCTCTCACCATTCTGGGTACGTCACACTCCCATCATTGACCGGTAACACGCATAAGCTTTCTAACACGCGCATGCAGGATGGTTGCCCGGTCTGATTCACGCCCTCTACATCATTTTCAAATATTAGAATCCCAAGGCCATGCCACACCCACCCAGGGAGCCAGAAAATAATTGAGAGAAATCGATGACACCGAATCACCACCGCCAGTTCAGCGAACTAAGCGTGATCAATGCTTCGCACGTGGTTCGGCAATGATTCATCCTTACGGCCGACACTTTTTTAATTCTGTCTTACACGGCATCACGACTGGGGAACTTTTTCTTTTGTTATTTTCAATCATGACATTACTTCTCGGTGTTCAATTTGGGGTTGGATGAAGGAGCTTTCTCGGGCTTCCAATGAGCACGACGCAATGTTCTAGTTTCGCATTAATCAGATACCCGTCAATTCCGACTATAATTCATAAAACACATCGTTTCGATCGCACCAGTGAGGAAATAAGAGCATCTATTCGTCTAATCCGATGGTGTCCCCAACATGTACTTAACCCCAACACATTGATTCAACCAATAAACTCCAAAACACCAAAGTTATATCCAACTAGCGTTGACATCCCGTTCATATGTAAACCGTCACCTAACAAAAGGCGCTCATAATAACTCGGCTTCCCCATCATCAGCAAGCTGGTCCTCTTCATCCCAATCAAGATCCGCATCCAGTTCTTCAGCCTTTCTTTGAAGCTCGGCGAGGCCTGAAAGCTCAGCAACATAGTCCTTCTCTTGCAACGCCCGCTTCACAAACTCCCAGCCATCCTTGCGATAGGCGCCAAGAATCTTGGGGCTGCAGGCACTGCAACAATCATAGGATTGGCCTCTGATAACCATGTTCTGGAACGTCGACACATAACCCCGGATTTGATGTGGAACCAGACCCAGGGGATGGTCAGGAGGGTCTCTCGGAGGCTCCGACCCGGCGGTGGGTTGGGGGGCATTCGCCTTGTTGCCCTGTGGGTGCTGTAAGAGGCTCGTTAGAAGCTCCACCAGGAGAGCCGACGCGATTGCCGCCACTCCAGGACGGGTGACGGTGCACTGTTGGTCAAGAGTCTGATCTTTCATGGACTGCAGAATAAACTTGTTCAGCGCATCATGGTTCTTGGATGCCGAGTTCCCGCGGGGGGGAAAGTCACTTACATCACCTGGAGCTACTACATCATTGCAGAAGTAGCAGCCTAGGGAAGCCGCACCCTCCTCCTCACTCTCAGCGCCGTGTCTCATGACAACATATGAGTCAAATCCAAGGGCAGCATTCATAACTATTTTTCCTGCAGCTTTGCCCATGACGGTTGGCAACCATCGAGACTCGCGGGTGTCCATGAGCAAGAAGATGACGTCATGTGCTTGGATGAGCTCTCCGAGCCGGTCAAAGTCCTTCTTCGTCTTTTCCTCGTCGGTGTACGGATGGCCGAGCATGGGGACCGAGAGCGCATGCCCCTCGCTTTCTAAGCCAGGGTATATTCTTTTTAGCGCGGCAGCAGCTTGCGGGGCTTTGGATTTGCCTCCATCGACACAGTCGTCAAACTCGAAGAGTGGCTGCCGGACCGGATTTGAGTAAGAGACTTTGCCATAGTCAACAAAGGTAACCTTTCGTACACCCCAGCCCAGTAAGTTTCGAGATACGTAGCCACCCAGGGTTCCTGCACCTAGGAGCAGGCATTTGGTGTTTTTGATCAGCTCCAGATTCAGTTCCGGTGCCAGTCTCCATTTCATGAGCTTAAGATTCAAGTCGACTGATGAATCGGCCAGCCGGGTAGGGTCCATGTAGTCCCCGAGGTTGGCTTGCTGCGCCTGCAGTTTGCCATTTCTGGATCTTTCCCATCCTGTGACCTTTGGCATCTCCGAGCCGTCAATGTTTTGCTGTGGATCTGTCTCGATGGGTAGGATAACGCTTCTAGCCTCATGCCTACGCGCCCAAATATCCCGGTAGCATAAGATTTTAACCTTGTTCAGTCGAAAGCGCTGCCTTATAAGGACCAAGAGGTTTCTCAAAGGCCACCCGGGGCCCTCGGGGTATGTAGAGGGGTCGAGGAACGCCACATAGCGATCACCCTCTGGCGTGTCGTTGAAGAACCCATTTTCGAACTCCCGCAAAGAGCCTACCTCCCAGCGATAAGGGAGTTTATATCCACCTTCGGTTTCATCCGCTTCGGCCTCTTGGATCTGCACCTTCTTCGCCAAGAAGAATCCATGCTCTCGTCTGTCTACACTGTATCGCCAAGTTCCGACTCGGTCGACGAGGGCCGTACTCTCGTCGGCAGTCAGATGCTCTGATGGCCCAGAGCGTCTCCACTGCGGATCAGAATGCAGGGCTGGAAATGCAAACCAATACGTGAATTTATATTTTTTGAGGTCGGCGTAGGAGAGGATAACGAACGAAGAAAGCAGCGAGGGTACTGAATATATGCTGCCGTCGTTGATGGCGTCCCATATCTAGGTGCGCGCGTGAGTATACCCCTTCGAAAGAGAGGTGATTTCTTAATATATCCATACCTGTCTACCAGCTTGCTTTATCATAGCCGACTTGTCTGTATTCTTGAACCCTTCGAGTGTGTTGACATTTTTTATTATCCCTTCAGCTCGCGCGGCTCCCAGAGGAACACTGGAGAATCTGGTCAGTGGTCGGACATTTCATGGGAGAGCAAAAGAAGCCATGCGTACTCCTGGTTCGTCAGGGCGTTACCCAGAATCTGCATCTTACAACTCGAGTCGGGGTCCTCAAGGCGGGGTTCGTACAACCCAAGGACCCCGCGGGCCGAGTCGTCGAGCTTATCATAGTCGAGCTTCGAGGCGAAAAGGGCAGAATAAAACGGAAGTTCGATCTCGGAGGAGAATGTAGCGAACTGTAGCGGCGCGGCCATTTTCGATGCGTGCACAGAGGGTACCCCTCTGTAGTCGTGATGGAGGCAACTAGTGAGACGGCGGATGGGTTGGGTTTATACGTGCTTTATGTCGCGAGAACACCGTACCCTCCTCACAGGATGAAGAGGGAGTGAGTCAATGAATGAAACGTGAAATGTTCAATCACGTCTTGGCCGTATCATCTGATCCCAGGGAAGCAAGACCAGCTGGTCCGTCAGTCCGGTGGTAAGATGTAGCTTTGCCGTCGTCCCCATGTCAGGTGCTGCCTTGAGGTCAGTAGGTACTACAACAAATAGGCAGCCTGGATGGAGCTGTAATCGCTGAGGTAGAACGCTCTGGTACTTCGACTAGGCTTATCTATGCCATTCTTGTGTTAGCGCTATCGCCGCTGTTGCCTAGTCACAGCTGTCCAACCGCGGGACACAGGGGCAGAGTACTCAGCAGTGCTGTATCTAAAAGCGGCACTGCTTAGTCACCTTCTGAAACTCGGAAGGTCCACGGCTGACTCGTACTACCCCGCAGACGTCACTACCAACACAAGGCAGGCCAATCCATTGCCAGCGGAGGTTTATCAGGGCTTCTCTCAGGGCTGGCCTTTTATTTATCATTCCACCATGGCTTTTTCAGGCGATGCATTTTCGAGAGCCAACACAAAATAAACAACTCTACCTTCTGAATAACTGAGAATTAGACAAGTTCGAAATTGAAGATGCCCCTCTAATTCCCATATTGGCATGGGCCTCGTTCGGGCCGATGACCAGTGGATGATTTTCCGCAGTGCCCCAGATACTCTGTTTTGGCGGCACTCGGAAAAATCGTTTCAGCGGCGCTGTTGCTTCGCCAGATCCCATTATCACAGGATATCACGAAACACTAGCCAGGCTAGATCTGCAATACTCTCAGAAAATCCGAAAGCCTCAATCAAATCCTTACAGAGCACAACATGTCGGTGTGTGCCTTGGCGCGGTTTTCGTTTGCCTCCAGTCGGATTGGACCGCTCATTTCCCAAGATTGCTCAGCATGTTGTCGCCTCCGCCATTGGGGCGTTAAGAGCGCCAGTTCGACTCACCTCATTCGACACAGCCAGGCGCAGCCGTCCTAAGCGAAATACTACCTAGTAGCCTTAGGCCGGTAGTTCTGATTGCCCTCACATTGCCTTATTTGGATTCGTGTTCCGCCCAGGGCTGGATTCGAAACCCCCAAGCAATTCCCATGAAGAATCCGAGCGCCTAAAATGCAAGTTCCATTTCTCCTGATTGGCTCAGCAAACCCTGCATAAACCTGCAGCACCATCTGCCGGGTTCCCGACCAATAAGATCCATATGCATGGTGGAGGCTGCATATGCTGTTGGTTCTACACGATGCCTTCAACCCTCGCGTAACAGATATTTTTGATTGCCCCAGGTGATAAAGAAATAGTTCATAAATATGGCTCCGGATCCCACCTCGCTGGCCGCTGGCAATAGTGTCAGTCCCATCGCAAAGAAGGCGGGAAGAGGTTGTGTCCCAGCCGTTCCTCTCACGTTGCCGCCATTCGTGCGAGCTTGATATCTTCCCAGAGCCATCATGTCTCTCTCAAATCTCCATCAAGCCCCAGCAGATCCTACCATCTGCTACAACAATGACATTTCATCAGACGGACAAACGCGGGGCATCAGCATCCACCCCAAGAACATTCTAAATATTGCTCATTCAAGTGAGTCGGCCAGCAATATTGGATCAGAAAAGAATCAAAGCTCGAGCGATGCCACAAGGTGGCGCCCTTTCTGGTTAGGTCATATCAGATTGGCCTGCTTCGGGCTCTGGTTTCTCTGCTGTACAATTGCTCTTCCTATCATGTTGCACTACTCTGAGCTCAACAAGGGGCTTCTCGAAACCCGAGGAGATCTTGCCTATTTATGGAGATTTGGTCCAACGGCCAGTGAGTCTAAGAAATTACTCCTCTATACTACACAGCAAATTTTAACCAGGGCCCCTCACAGTTTTCACTGTCGTTGCAGTACTCTGGTCGCGAGTAGAGTTGCAAGCATTGATATACATGCCCTGGGCATCGCTTTCGTCCAGACAACCAATCAGTCCCGAGGAGTACCAGCTGGACTATGTGTCGATGATTGTTCCAACTGTTTTAGTTCAATCCCTTCGGAGGAGACACTATTTCGTATTTCTTGTTACCTTGCTGTCAGTCATCTTGAAAATTCAAACTGTCCTGTCCGCCGCCCTTTTCTTCTTGGGGGACGAGAAGGAGGTTCGACCAGTTGAGTTGAAAGCTTTGGACATTTTCAATACGACATCCGGCCGGGCAAGCAATGTCAGCTCAGGCGCATACTACAGTGCTCTCGCCATCCGGGACACAGGCATGGAGATTCCTTTCGGTGTTGGGGCAGACTGCGCCTACCAGACCTTTAATCGCCCAGGCTACGACGGTCACGCTCGGGGTACCGTTGATGAACCTTTAGAAGCCATTGTTGACGGCGTCTTCATGGACATCAAGTGCCTCAAGTTGGAGAACTGGAGTTCCACTCGGAAGCCAACCGGCTATGTATCACCACTTGTTGGGAGGAATACCACAGGATTGTTTGTTTACAATTTTACGATCAATCTCCAGTTCGAAAATTGCGACCGATCTATCACTGTCAAAGATGATAATTTCGAGTGGAACACTTTAAATGTGACGCATTCGGATGGGGGGACGACTCCCAGCGATCTGGAGAAAAACGGAACGTATACATGGTGGATGCCAAACGATCTCGAAACCCCTTTGTGTTCCTCATTGCCACAACAACACCCTCAGACTCTTTATTACGCGATGCATTACGGAGCATCCCCATCGAACAGTTCAGAACCAGAAATAGATACCATGGCAGGTGTTATCTGTTCTCCGACAGCATGGGTCTCAAAAGTCCAAGTTGTAGATGATGGCATTAGCCCAAATGTCACAGCTCTCTCTAATCAGGCAAAAGTGACAGCAGACTTCAATGCCTGGGCATTGATAGGGAATTCTATATCTCCCTCAGAGGACGGTTGGGTTCCTAGTTTCAGCAGTTACAAGTCAAACGACCAATACCGGAGATATGGACCAGTAGCAGCAGATCTCTTTTTCAAAAGAGGGAAATCAGTCAACTTCGAAAGCGACCCAAATATGCTGCACAGTAACGTGTTAAGTCAATCTATTGCGGACCTTATCAAGGCTCTTGGCCCTTTGCTTGCTCATTACCAACTGCGTCAGAGCGAACATAGTACAATTGATGCAAAGGCTACTCAGGTGTTGCATAAAGTCAAAATTGGTCAGGCTATCTGTATTTCAATGGCGTCACTGTTTGGGGTCTCACTATGCATAGCTCTGTGGGCGCTACTCACATCCAAGAGAATATTCAAAGGCTGGTTTAGGAACCCTTCAACTGTGTTGGGATCGATGATGAGCCTCAACGATAGGTTCAATCCTGGATTATTGTCACGACACCATGAGAATTACAAGGCAGCTTGGATCGATTGCAACGGCTCGCCACTTGTCTTCAAGCTATGGTTCCGTCTGATATTTACTTCCTACGTTCTCGCTCTCATTGTTGGTCTTGCCGTCTCGCTTAAAATATCACAGACGTCTGATGGCCTGGTTACCATTACTGAAGAGAGTGATCTATTCGTATGGTGGAAGATCGTGCCGGCCTTTGCTATGCTTCTCGTTGCGTTATACACCGGCTTTTCTAGCTTCTCCGTTCGCGAAATATCTAATCTTGCGGACCTTTCTTCAAGGCCCTGCCGCATGGAAGAATTGGACACGTCCATTCTAGACATGGTTGGTCTTCGAGCATTATACCACTCAGTCCGCCTAGAGAAGTATAGTGTGGCTTTGCTACAAAGCCTGACCATTCTATGCACATTTTTAACAGCCTTGTCTGCTCCTCTCTTTACACCAGAATTTGTTCCCGATAATCAAATCATTTCGCTTCCGGAGGAGACTTGGTTCGGTGTTCGAGCACTGAAAAATGACACAGACGAATACGAGCAGCATCGCAAAACGGTAGCTACTATGTTCTACACTCCAAATGGCACGAACCAGACATACGCACCCCTTACATACGGCGAATTCCTTTTCCCCAGGCTTGGAGCCGATCTTCCGGATGATAGTTGGGTTTCTGGAAGGGAAGTCAAAGTAACTACCCCAGCCGCCAAACTAGTTTCCGCCTGCGCCGCGATCCCCGATGATGAATATACCCTCAACTATACATCAAGCAAACGCCACCAATTTCGCTACTATGGCGTACAAATAAGACAGGATTCGGCTTGTCCAGATGGCTCCTATTACGAGGACACTGGGGAGAGCTGGTTCAGTGAGGAGGCTGTGAGCGATGGAGTGGCTTACTTTGCATACAATCTCCGTAACTTAGCCTACGAAGGTCTCAACCGTATCTGCAAGGCTAATTCTACTGCGGAGTCACATCGAAACAGGCCGTGGAAGACGCAAAAATTTATTTGGGGCAAATACTCCCCAGAAAAGAACGAGGCTGAGTATGTGTCTGTCTGGGCTTGTAATTATACCTGGGGTCAGATAAATATGGATGTTTCACTGAATCGGAAAGATGAAAGCATCTATATCGCGCACGAACCGCCTCCTCAACAAACCGACTCGGGTGTGCAGCCATGGAGTCCGCCTTTTCCAGTTGTCGAGACCGGTGGATCCTCGGACCCCATCGATTTTTCATTCTCTGATTATCTCCAACAGAAGGGTTCTGACCCCCGGATGTATGGTCTGGATGCTATCTTTGCCAATATGGTGCCGCCCTTTGGTTCACTGGATATTGAGGCGTTCGGTGACCCAAGTCGGGAACACGAGATACTCGAATTGTTGCGCTCAAATATCGGTCTTATCAATGCCCAAGTCTCAAACCTCGAGAATCGTTTAGATATTGACGAGGAGTCGATCATGACGCCTTTCAAACATGGGGAAGCACAGCTCATCAATGTTACCATCGTCGATGACCGGCGACAACGTCTCATTCAAAACTTTGCCATCACCATCACCATGTTCGTCGTTTTGGGCTTGGTTTTTGCCGTACACGCGTGGGGCCTTATTTCGCTATGGCTCAAGCGCTACGTGGGCGACAGAGTCTGGCTTCTCAACTTGGAGTTCAAAGGTCTCGTTCCGGATAACTTCAACAGTATTGCCATGATGGATGGCTTAATGCGAGGCTCGAATTGCTTTGATCACCTTCCCGATGATGCGCATCTCCAATCTCCGAGCGAACTCTACGAGAACTCGGCTGGAGTGCGTTTCCGGGTCGGATGGTTTCAGAGAGCAGAGCGTTCCGAGGAGGAATTCGCTCTGGGGGTTTTGGGTGACGAGATGTACAGGTTTTTGGAGCCCAAGGCAGACGTACATAATCGAAAGTACTCAGGCGAGTGACATAGAGTGACATACATACAACATCCAAGAATACACAAATTATCAAGAGAATGCCTGAGCTGGTCGTATCATTTATTTTGTGGTTTCCAACACCGGTCAAAGGTTTTATTCAAGCATTCGTGCTTATTGGGCTTACCTCTTGCAGCCGTTGACTGATGCCATTTCCTCATTGGTCCACATACAGCACCGCCAATATGTATGGATCTTTCGACGTTCTTATGGGCATTGACTGCGGTGTCTTACCTGACTCGCATGCAGAGCCCGGATGCCGTATCGCATGAAGCAGAACGGCGCCCCATCAGCTAATCCTGCTTTGCAGAGCCTGCAAGCCGGTTCAAGCACATTCCTGATCTTGAACTGGTTTCCGTGAGCTGTGTCAAAACCAGTGCCGAAGCAGCCAATACCGCCCCTTGGAACCCTTGCAGGAGGGGAGCACCCTTCTCAATTTAAGCGCCCAGCAACCTCCTCTCCACCCAGACTCAGCCAATGGACGGCTCTGTTGGTGGTGGACGTGCTAATTTTAGAAGGCAGCCCACCCCAGCCATTGTCTAAAACGAGAGATGGGGGGAACAAAGAGATAGTTCGGGACTGTCACCAGCATCGAGGGAGGTGGTACGGCGGGCTGGGTCGCACTACGCGAACTGTCGGTGGGCAGACGGACGAGAGGTTGTGGCGTGGTATATCCAGAATAGTCAATGCCATGTGTGCCAGTGGCAGGAAAATAAAGTCATCATGGCGAACGGGTTGGTCGCCTGCTGCCTCCATGCAGCCATGGATCCGTCACCTACATGCATAGATGGTACCCTAGATTTAGCAGCCTCGCCCAAATACGCCGGTGGCAGGCGTCGATGCTGGACGATAGTGGAGTGGGGTGTCTGCTTCTGGACGATCACGCCTGTCAATACCACCTACTTCCCGAAAGACCTGCTGTGGGTGTGCCTGCCATCGCTGTCTCCCGCCGCCCCTCACGCCTCTGCTGCCCGCCTTCTCCATCGCCGGTGGACGCTCAGGGACGGCTGCTCTGGATGCTACCCGCATGCCGCTCTATGCAGACATACCAGACTCCATCAGCCCATCTCAATCCTTGTCTGTTCTATGTATGTCCTCCTGCAGCCTGCCCCCAGCTAGGCCCACCCCGGCCCAGGTCCAACGCCCACTGCAAGGCGTGTACATCTGCCATCCTCTCCCGCTCCCCTCCTACGTTCGCTGCATCCCACGCCGCCAGACGTCCGTGTCTGCTGTTGCATAGGCGTAGACCAACGACTGATGTTTCACGTCCTGCTGCCTTGCCTATCGGCATCGTCTGGATCGCGCCGTTGCTGTCTCTTCTAGATTGGGTCTTCCGGGTAGCATTCATCCACCACCTTTGCGCCTGTTGGTGATCGGTTCTTGGTTCTGCACCACTGCCATTGTCAGTCCCGGATCGCGACACTCGGCTGCCACCCTCCATTTCGCCTCCATTGCCAGAGTGCTTCGATGTCTTAGGTTTGTGCCGACGGTTCACATGGCCCAGTCATAGCTAGCACCGACGGCTCGACATTGACGCCCGTATTTGAGAACAGGCCCGCCGTCTACAGTCCCCGACTCCTACCTTGGTCGTATCTCGCCTCGGATTACATCCTCGACGAAACGCGACAATTTTTACTGGTTGGTCCCGTCGCCTTTCCTCCCGAATGCTGGTCCGTGGAATCGGAGTCAATCCATCATGTCCTCCTCTCGGGATCCAGCGAGTCTCCGGCTCGGCCTCAATCCTCTCACCACATCAATAACACTCTTCCATTCTCAACAGGGTACGCCTATTTCTGCGGTCTCAATGGCTTCCTCAAACACCCAAGTGGCTCAAACACCGGTGAGCGCCATCCAACCATATAACCCTCAAGAATGGGTCACATCGAGGGCGCCTCGCCAACAAACTGGTGCTGAGCCGCAAGGTACCAAGCAATTTTATTTTTCTTCCGTTTCTCCATCGCCATAATGTAGCGCTCGAGAACTTGTATAGCAAGCTAACCCATTGACAGCATCTCCACCTCCTCCGCCATACAGTCCTCCCAGGAGCCAGCAACCACGGCCAGTGAGCTCAGTATTTGACCAACATCAGCCTTCGCCAGGTTCAACGCCGCCCGTTCCTCGCTTGCCGCACCCCCATCTTTACCACTCGTCTCCCGAACCAGCCGCCCATGTTTCGTTCCCACCTCCCCCAGGGTCCGGGGGACGAGGACCATCGCGAGAACGACGGTTTGGTCTCCCATCCCTCAGTAGAAGAAGAGAAACCGAACCGCAGCCAAGCACGCCCGAGCCTAGACCGCGCGTTGCGCCAGCAGCAAGACAGAGTATGGGTCCAACGATTTTCCAGAGCCCAGGGTCTATACGCCCTAGCCTAACTCTCGACATGTCCCACCCTCCCGCTGCTCGGAGAGCAATGTCGGCTGGCGCTGTCGAGACTCCCACTTCCGCACGCTCGAGATCAGGCTCACAGACGAGATGGGAATGGCCAGCAGGAGTCCCTCCACCGCCTCCAGGGCCGCCACCACCTGGCTCTAGGTCACATAGTGTGCAGCCGACGGAGAGGACATCTGTGCCATTAATGTCACCACCCACACGCCGACCGCCCCCAAGCAGCGGATCGTCACTGGATCCAGTTCCACCGACACCTGCAAATTGGGTTGACGAGAGTAACCAATCACCTCGTTCGGATAGCGTTCAGTCTCGGCCTCTCCGAATAGACACAGAGGTGGCGCAACAGTCAGACCAAGTTCCAGAGCCGCTGCAGTCTTCAGGAAGTGCCAGTGGGTTGAACCGAGCCGGTGCGGTGCGTCACGATAAGACGATCATTCAGAGGCGGGCAGAGAGTCGGACTCGCCAAGGAAGCCACGGCTCTATTGACGAGGGAATGAACCCTCATAACATATCAAATATCGTCGTACCTAGTGGTTCCAGTAATGCGCCTCGTCCTCTGACAACACCTCGGAGTGCGAGTGGTGGAGGACCTCAGACAGGAGAATCAAGCGCTCGGCCTGGGTCTAATACTTCCACCCCCAATGTGCGCTCTGGCAAGTTGCCGATGTTGAACACATCGATCGCCCCCTTTACTCCGTCACGACTTGGTCATCAAGCGACAGGCTCACAATCCGTTGTGCCCAAAGCACTTCCAACTCCCCCTCCTCACGGACAATCAGCGTCGAGCGCCAATGCACGAGAAAGCTCACGACCTCCCGCAGGTTCTCGGACGCCCTCGACAAAGGATGCCATGAGGACACAGAGTGCTGATCAATTTGCCGCCGGCACCATCGAGCGATTCCAAGCCTTTGCAGCCAGCGAATCGACCGCTGCTTCGGACGCTGACCGTGTTCGCTTGTTCGCCGACTTTATTGTGAACGAATCCCGCATTCGCCGAGAACGATATTCATCAGCAATCGGGGCAATGGGCTCCGAGATTTTTGATCTTACTCGGGATCTATTCAGGCCAATGGTGGCTCCAAGGCGTGAGTCTGTGGCATCTCAAGATGGTGGTAAACCAGATCCCGCAGGTCCCCAACGCTCCAGGGCGAGTTCTCTCCAATCCAATCCACCGGCAGAGAGTGGCCCAAGTTCTGCCCCAGTTTCGGGCCGGCTGCCACCCTCGCCGAGTGCTGGTGCGCAAGGCGGAGCGAACTACAACTCCAACTATATGCCATCGCTCTCACCTATTCTAAGTATGAGCGTAAGTGACAACTACGGTGATGGGAGCTCTCGGGGGCGCCCATCAAGTCGTTGGTGGGAGACAGATTCGCAGGGCGACGGCTCAAAACGGGTGGAGCGATCCAAGCGAGAGTCCAAATATATGGGTGTTCCCAAGACCCAGTGGGCAGAAGTTGAAATGAACGCAAGCACACAGGGAACCTTGAGCGAGCCAGGATCAACCGTTGACTACCCGCAAGAGAAGACCGGTTGGCATGACGAGGAAAGTGTGTGTACGCCGCAGCCCTCACGGTTCCCGCTCTCGCCTGGGCAAACTGCATCAACCCCCTCTCCCGCGCCTGGCGGTCGAGGATTTCTTGACGTGTCAAGGCTTGTAACTTTGCCCCCTCCTTACCCTCGACATCACCCAGCAGTAGAAAATAATCACCCAGAGCTCAGCGCAACGAGGACGGCCGTACGCGCTCTGAGCGACCTGTCGGAGATTAGCAAAGTGAAGGAGAAGTACAAAGCTGACAGCACGAAGCGACGGGAGGATTTCACGAAGGAGTCCACTGAGCGTCACCAAGCACTCAGAGCAAATCTTCACCAGGAAATCAGCTCTGGCAACATGGGATATGCGGACGCGGCAGCTATCGAAGCCGACTTAAAATTACATGAGGACAGCAAGAAGAAGGATTTGGAGAAAGCGGAATATGAACAATTCCAGAATGTTGTCATTATGCCCTTGAATGATCTTCTGACAGGCAGAATTTCTCGAGCCACTGAACTCTACGCTTCTTTGTCTGAGCACCTATTCGACGACGGGCAAATGGATGCCGATATGCCTCAGGAAGAAGGCGATGACCGACCCGAACTTCTTGAGAAATTGACACTACTCAAATGGATATTTGAGGCGCGAGAAACACTTCACCGAGCTATATTCGATATCTTATCTGATCGAAATGGGCGTTACCGTGATGTGATCATCACGCCTTACCGGCTTTCTGGAAACACAGAGAAGCTTAAGAGTGCAGAGGCTTTCTTTGCTGAGGATGCCGCGAACAGAGAGTTGGCCTATGCCAATGAGGTTCTAGATCGCGCAAGAGATTTCCGGCAGGTCGTTGACGAAGCCGTGCACAAGGGCATTGCTCTACAGCTGTCTGCTTTCTGGGACATTGCCCCTCCTCTCTCTCGGCTGCTCGAGAGTATCCCAACGGAGCTGGATGGTTTCAACATTCAAATTCCCGCCTCTGAATATGAGGAAAACCCTGCCTATCGCGATCACCCAATGCAGTACCTCCTAAGTTTGCTTCTCCATACAGAGAAAAGTACATACCAGTTCATTGAGGCCCACACTAATCTCTTGTGCCTCTTGCACGAAGCAAAGGAAGCCGTGGCAAATGCGAAGGCCAAGATCCTCGCCACGCAAATCAAGGAAGCAGACGGCACGCCAATTAGCCCTGAGCAAAGAGAGGAGAGGTCAAGAGCCATGCGCCAGGGCGAAGATCGACGTTTGACGGAAGACCTCAAAGAGAAGGTTCGTGTTGTACAGGACCAGTGGAATAATGCTCTTGCACAGAGCATTGCCAGTGTCAAGGAGAGAATTGCTGGGTGGCTTTTGGAGACCGGTGGGTGGGATGACTCCCTCGTTGAGGGATGACCGCGCCACGGTAGGAAACTAAGAAGAGCTCAGGAAGCGCAAGCATAAAGTCATTTTGGTAAAGTTAAATGCCCCGAGAGATATAGGCGGGCTTTTTCTTTTCTTTTTCGCATTTATATTGCGTCATTCGCCCCGGCGGCTTCTGACAATGATACCCGCTCGAGCATCAGAGCTGCCGAGCATTCTGTCATTTCTGTTTGCATTCATCCTGAGTTTTTCGGACGATTTTCATAGAGCGGTGCATTATACGACTTTCAGGATATTCCACGATGATAAACCATATGCATTTTCTATTAATTCCTAGTAATACATTTTTCTCGCATACAATTCATATCATTGCTCTTCGTCAGCTTCCTCCAGGATGGCTTCGTAACCCCAGACTTGATATACGGGTATTCCACATATGAAAAGATATAATACACTCCTGGTCAGTGCCTTTCTCGTAGCCAAGGAGTCGCTCCAAGTTTCTTTATTGATCAATCGCGATCCGTCGTTCTGTCGTACATTTATCATTTTAACATCGAACCCCATAGGAGCGGGTTTGCTTTTTTTCTATCCATCTCGCCATAGAGGCCATTCAAAGGCCAAACCATCGTTTTGATAACGGATAGCGGAGATCGTTTACTGGCCGTCCTTTTTATACTCGACGGGCATGTCCATGCCGACCCTCCTGGCGGTGAGGCGTATCCGCTCGTCGTCCTCCATGTTCATCCCCGGGTTGTAGCGCTCAATCAGGTCGACGTAGCAGCGCTGCGAGCGGAGGTATGCGGCGAGCTGCTGGGCCTGGCCGGCCTTGACGGCGGCCGGGAGAGACGACTCGGGCTGGCTGCTGGCGGAGAAGTGCGTCCGGAGGCGGCTGTGGACGTCGGAGCGCGGGGACTCGAGGATGGGGCGGGGGGGCAGCTCGCGGAGGAGGGAGCGGTAGATGGAGCGGATGCGCGCGGGGGAGGTTGACATTTTGGTGATGTCTTGGGATATGCTTGTGGTTTTGAGGCATTCAAATCATTGAAGAGTTGGGAACTGCGAATTGGGGAATTGGAGTATGGAGTGGATGACTAAGCTTGGTGTTAAAGATATTGCTTAGCAGCTGTTAAAAGGTGACGACTTGAGCGAGGCATTGACGTGCCTTCTTAGTATCAAAATCGATTTCTGGGTTTCTGGATACAATACATGTCTTCTCTCGACTTCTCCAACTTATGATCATGGCTAGATGGGATATATCCAGCCAGCAAGTCAAACAAGCAAAAGAAGTAAACTGTCTGGCCTGTCTGATAAGATAACTAAGTGCCCCGCCACGGTCCGTCACGATAAACTTCAGATGCGGCGCGGCAGCACATCAAAGACAAGCCGGTTTGCCTGTTAGGAAAGGCAACCAGCGACGGCACTCAGGAAAACCACAAAAGCAATGTCTAAAATCTGAGCAGTTTCTAATCCAATTGATGGCCTGATTCCTAAACCTTTACGTATACCCATACCACTCGGACACGATGAAACTACAAAGACCCCCACCAGCTCAGCATGATTGCGCCGTTTAGCCCGACTGCCACACCGACAGCCACGTATCGGCTTATTGCCCCGCCATGAGTTGACGTACTCCGGAGTTGGAGATGCCAATTGCAGCCGTGAAACCAAAGTTCAACCCCGAGCTAAAACCACCCACTTTGCTGAGCTGCGTACTACTACTAATACTAGTCTCCCTCTTCCCATGTCCCATACTTGTAGATACTTGATCGTACTCATCCTGGCCATCCTTCTCTTCCCAGTAGCTTTCGGCCCCCGCCTCTTCCTCTCCTCCCTCCCGTTCGCCTCGCTCATCACCCGCCGCACCATGTCGTCCACGTCGGCGTACAGCCAGGAGCTGTACATTGCCCAGCTCGCCGTCCAGCGGGCCTCCATCCTCACCAAGCGCGTCTTCCACGAGAAGGCAAAGGGCACCGTCGACAAGAACGACAAGTCCCCCGTCACCATCGGCGACTTTGGCGCCCAGGCCCTCATCATCGCCGCCCTCCGCCACAACTTCCCCGACGACGCCATCGTCGCCGAGGAGGAAGCCGCCCAGCTGCGGACCGACGAGAACCTCAAGAGCACAATCTGGGACCTCGTGCGCTCGACCAAGCTCGACGACGCCGCCTCCGAGCAGGCCCTCGGCGGGGCCATCAAGGACGCCGACGAGATGCTCGACCTCATCGACCGCGGGAACAGCACCGGCGGCAACAAGGGCCGCATCTGGGCCATCGACCCCATCGACGGCACAAAGGGCTTCCTCCGCGGCGGGCAGTACGCCGTCTGCCTGGGCCTCATGGTCGACGGCGACGTCAAGGTCGGCGTCCTCGGCTGCCCCAACCTGCCCGTCGACGACAAGGCGCCCCTCGCCGCCGACATTGGCTCCAACGGGACCGACGACGAGGGCCACGGCGTGCTCTTCTCCGCCGTCCTGGGGCAGGGCGCCACCAGCCGGCCCCTCGCCGCCTCCTCAGAGGAACAGGGCAGGGCCATCTCCATGCGCTCCATCGACTCCCTCGCCGACGCCACCTTCTGCGAGAGCGTCGAGGCGGGGCACTCCGCCCACGGCGACCAGGCGAGCATCGCCCAGAAGCTCGGCATCACCAAGCCCAGCGTGCGCATGGACAGCCAGGCCAAGTACGGCTCCATCGCCCGCGGCGCCGGCGACATCTACCTGCGCCTGCCCGTCAAGGCCACCTACCAGGAGAAGATCTGGGACCACGCGGCCGGCGACCTCATCGTCCGCGAGGCCGGGGGCCAGGTCACCGACATCCACGGAAACAGGCTGGATTTCGGGATCGGCAGGACGCTGGCGAACAACAAGGGCGTCGTTGCTGCGCCTGCTGCGTCCCACGCCAAGGTCCTGGCTGCTGTACAGGAAGTGTTGAACGCTAAGCAATAGCAATCAGTTCTCTGAGAGAGAAAAAAGGGAAGAAAAGGAAAGAAAAAGTCGGATGATAAAAAGGGATCTTATGAGCTCGAAGTAATGAAAAAGTTTCAGCTAGTTTCTAAACGATAGGCAGGGTCATATCGAACAAATATATGAATAGATTTTGTATTTGGCTTTTACAAAGAATCGTACACGATCCGCGCATGCATTATAGGTACATTTTACACGGCGAGGCTCGCTCTGCCTCCCTAACCAACTAACTATACCCCCCTATCTCCCTCTCTAACTGATCTTCTTCGACTTCAGCTTGATCGTCTCGTCGTTGATGAAGATGCCCTTCCCCTTGTACGGCTCCGGCTTCCTCCAGAGGCGCACCTTGCCCGCAAACGACATGATGGTCTCCCTGTCCGCGCCCTCGATCAGGATCCTCGTGGGCGCCGGCGTCGTCACCTTGACGCCCCTGGGGATGCCCACCTCGACCGGGTGGGTGAAGCCGAGCTTGAGGCACAGGAACGGCTGCCCGGGGTACTCCTCCTTCGCGCCTCGCTTCTCGACCGTCGCTCGGTAGCCCACGCCCACGAGCCGCAGGATGGCCGTGTGGCCCTCCGAGACGCCCGTGATGTAGTTGTTCAGGTACGCCCACGACGTGCCTAACAAAGGTATTGTTAGCAATCCGCCCTCAACTCTCCTCGGGGGCTCTCCAATTCCCCGTTCCATATCTCTCTCGTAAAAACGTACCCCACATCTCCTTCTGCTTCTGAGCATTCGAATCCTGAATGCTCAGCTCAACAGTCTTGTTCTCCAGATCCTGCTTCAGGTTCACAAACTCCGGCACATCCAGACTCAACGACCCTATAAATCACCCAATTAGTACCACCGAAACACAACCACATATTGTCCAATCTTCCCCCAATGGAAAGCTCCACACTAACCCAAAGGCCCATTGACCGTAATCGTTCTGTGCTTGGAGGGCTTCCAAGATGTGGCGCTTCCAACCGTCTTCAAATCGCTCATCAGAATCTCGACTCCGGGGGGTATGGCGAGCGGTGTCCGACCGAGCTTCGAGCACTGTAGGGACGTCGTCGAGAACTGTCGATGGGCGGCTCCGGGCTGCTGTTGCCAGGCGGGCAGGAGGAAGCTCGGCAGGGCGGTCGAGCTCGAGACCTGCGTGGCCTTTGCCAGGAGCTTGGCCCTGCTGGGAGCTATTAATGAAGCCATTGAGCTGAATTAGGGCTGTCGCAATTGGATTTGACTGACGCGTCGAGACTTTCTGCATGAAGCTGCTACGTTGGGAACAAGACGATCGGGATTTTTGTGCTGACTAATATTATCACGTGTTGGGCAACTACACCACAACGTGGGGATAGCTTCCAGCAATACACATATTGATATCAGTTTAATCATTCACAGTGAGCATGGAGAATAAAATATTTGGGCCATTAAAAGTGAGTACAATAGTACTTCAATTGATATATTTCTTAAAAGTTTTTGGCCGTGCACAATTACGTTGAGAATCGCAACGCCCTTTGAATGTCATGAGGTCGAATCCTCTTTACAAGAATCACGGCACTCCCGAATTGAAATTAGTTCAGGCCGTAGGATGCCTGAAGCTTGGCCCAACACTGAAGAGCTACCGAAGCAATTATAGATCAAGGGCGGATTTACTCCTCGCCCTCAATAGGACCCTCCTCCTCGTACTCATCACCCTCATCCTCATCAATACCAGCTTCCTGGTACTGCTGGTACTCAGAGACGAGATCGTTCATGTTGGACTCAGCCTCAGTGAACTCCATCTCGTCCATACCCTCACCAGTGTACCAATGCAAGAAAGCCTTGCGACGGAACATGACGGTGAACTGCTCACCGACACGCTTGAAGAGCTCCTGGATGGAGGTGGAGTTACCAATGAAGGTAGAAGACATCTTGAGGCCACGGGGAGGAATGGCGCAGAGAGCGGTCTGGATGTTGTTGGGAATCCACTCAACGAAGTAAGAGGAGTTCTTGTTCTGGACGTTGCGCATCTGGTCCTCAACCTCCTTCATGGCGACCTTACCACGGCTATTGAACATAATTAGCTTTGACACTCAACCAGATTATATCAGTAATTTAACTTACAAGATAGCACAGCAGGTCAGGTAGCGACCGTTGCGGAAGTCAGAAGCAGCCATCATGTTCTTGGGGTCGAACATCTGCTGGGTGAGCTCAGGAACGCTGACAGCGCGGAAAGAGTGGGCACCACGGCTGGTCAGGGGAGCGAATCCGACCATGAAGAAGTGCAGACGAGGGAAAGGAACCATGTTGACAGCCAGCTTGCGCAGGTCAGAGTTCAGCTGACCGGGGAAACGCAGGCAGGTGGTGACACCGGACATGACGGCGGAGACCAGGTAGTTCAGGTCACCGTAGGTGGGGTTAGACAGCTTGAGGGTTCTCATGCAGATATCGTACAGAGCCTCGTTGTCGATACAGAAGGTCTCGTCGGAGTTCTCGACAAGCTGGTGAACGGAGAGAGTGGCGTTGTAAGGCTCGACGACGGTGTCGGAAACCTTGGGGGAGGGGACAACGGAGAAGGTGGCCATCATGCGGTCGGGGAACTCCTCACGAATCTTGGAGATAAGCAGAGTACCCATACCGGCACCGGTACCACCACCGAGAGAGTGGGTGATCTGGAAACCCTGGAGGCAGTCGCAGCCCTCAGCCTCGCGACGGACGACGTCAAGAACGTTGTCGACAAGCTCAGCACCCTCAGTGTAGTGACCCTTGGCCCAGTTGTTGCCAGCACCGGACTGACCGAAAACGAAGTTGTCGGGGCGGAAGAGCTGGCCGAAAGGTCCAGCACGGACGGCATCCATGGTACCGGGCTCAAGATCGACGAGGACAGCGCGAGGAACATACTTGTTGCCGGAGGCCTATACCCAAATCTCAGTCAGAGGATGAAAATCACGAGAACATGTCAAGCTCGATCTGGACAAACCTCGTTGAAGTAGACGTTCATGCGCTCGAGCTGGAGCTCGGAGGTACCGCTGTAGACACCATTGCTGTCGAGGCCGTGCTCGCCAGAGATGGTCTGCCAGAAAGCAGCACCAATTTGGTTACCCTTTTCAACGACCAATGTTAGCACACCGCAGAATCAATCACCAGGCAAAAGCCCGTCGGAGAGGAGCAACAACTTACGCACTGACCGGTCTGAAGATGGACCTATTATGGGGTGAAATTCATTGGTTAGCACATGTAGTCTTCAAAAAACGAAGCATCTCAACAGCCACCAACGGTTGTTGAGGCCAAAACATAGTTTGGGTGCGTTTCGGCGGGGTAGAATCAGGGGCTCGCCATGAAGAAACGCGTCGAGGGGAAAGCAGAACTCACAATCTCACGCATTTTGAAGGTGTTGGAGAGTGTAGAAGGAAGTGTTGCAGGTAGAGGAAGCGAAATACAACCACAGAAGAGCTACGTGAAGCTTGGGAGTGGGTGATGGGCGAGGAAGTGGATTGTAGGAACAGGAAATGGATGTTGATTTTTGTTGGAGACGGAGCAGAAAGTGGTGACCTGTGCTGACCGCCACGAAGGACCCCCCAGCTTCTTGCCGCCTTGGGTGCAGGTACCAGCTACAGCCACTGTGAATTAGGGGGTGACAGGCGGCGGGAATTGGCTCGACCCCACAGCAGCGTTGTTGGCCCCTCGTTAGACCAGGCAGGCGGCAGGGGCAGAAAAACAAGCAGCCAGTCGCCGCCGCGCATTGTTTACACCCTTGCCTGCAGGCGGGCCCGAAGCGGAAAGGCTCCAACACCGCCCAATCAGCCAAATCACCTTATTTAATCTTGCCCAACAACCAGCGAGCAGGTGCTGTCGTGCCTTTGTGCTTTGCAGCGATGCCTCGGAGCCAAACTGCAAGACAACGCCAACAGGACTATGTACCTTATACAGAAACCCCCTACACCGTTGAAGCAAACGGTCTACCTGCTACCATTTATTATCGATTGGGGATGGCTGGTGCTCCTATTTATTGATACGGTCAAGCATCAGATTAGGTGGGGGTATCAACGCTGGCGAGATATTGCTGCCCCACATGCCAGCACTACCCGAGGACCTGGCAAGTGGGTGACAGGAGAAATGAGACATCCAATGGAAGAGTGATGAGCAGACTACTTTCTACAAAGAATAGAGAAGTCTAGCAATACAAGCTGAAATAAAGTAGCAATGTATACGATATTATCTCTGATGTATGTTTAATTAGTCTCAGACTTGAAACAATATTGATCTTAATTTCACGGCCACCGACTTGCTGACCTCTTGATGATCATTTTAATATCCATATACGGTGAGAAACTAGAGCAATTTGACAGCAATACTTCATCCATCACTACATAGCACAACGAGCACAAAGAAAGGGACTACATAGCATAAGGAGCACATAGAAGGGATGGGTGAGCGTAGAGTCAGTCCTGGCTTCACAGCCGCCAGACATGTGCATGATAGAATAGTACCAAGTATCTAGTGAGCCTTGACAACACCTGCAGCATCTGCCTGGGCAGCAATCTTCTTCTTATATGCCTGCACATCTCCGTTGAACTTCTCCACCGTTCCGCCATCACACACCCACAGCGATGTGCAGACGGACTGCAACATGGTCAAGTCGTGGGAAACCATCAGAACACCTCCTTGGTAGGCGTTCAGGGCCTCGGCCAGGGCATCCATAGCTTCGATATCAAGATGGTTAGAAGGTTCGTCCAGCACGAGGATGTGCGGGTTCGTGAGGGCAATGCAGGCAAATGCAACCCTAGACTTCTGACCACCAGAGAGCAGTGCCATCTTCTGCAGACCCGTGGTACCGGTGATGCCAAAGGCACCGAGCTGTCTGCGGTACTCCTCGTCCGTGCGGCCAGGGTAGTTCTTGGCCATAAAGCCGACTGCGCTGTCATTGAGGTCAAGAGCATCCACGTGGTGCTGCGCAAAGAAACCGATTCGGAGCCTTGCGTGGGCTGTTATCAAACCTGAAGAAGGTGACAACTTGCCGA